ATGTGCCTGGAAAAGTTGTAGGCAATCAACACCAGCTTGTGAAAGCAGCCAAGTGGGTGGTACCTTGCAGAGCCACAAGGGTGGATCTGCCCATTGCCTTGGAGCTCACCTCTTGTGTCAGTGTAGCCTGGATGTGAGATATGGAGTCAAAGGAGATTATTTTGGAGCTTTAAGATTTAATGACTGCCCTTCTGAGTTTCAGACTTGCATGGGGGCCTGTAGCCTCTTTATTTTGGCCAATTTCTCCCATTTGGAATAGAAGCATTTACTCACTGCCTGTACTTCCATTGTATCTTGAAAGTAACTAACTTGTTTTTGATTTTCCAGGCTCATAAGTGGAAGGGACTTGCTTAGTCTCAGGTGAGATTTAGGACTTTTGAGTTAATGCTGGAACAAGTTAAGGCTTTGAGGGACTGTTGAGAAGGCATGTTCGTGTTTTGAAATGTGAAAAGGACATGAGATTTGGGAGGGGCCGGGGCAGAGTGATATGGTTTAGATTTATGTCTTCACCCAAATCTCATGTTGAATTGTATTCCTCAATGTTGGAGGAGGGACCTGGTGAGAGGTGATTGGATCATGAAGGCAGATTTCCCTCTTGCTGTTCTTGTGATAGTGAGTTCTCATGATCCAGTTGTTTGAAACTGTGTAGCACCTCCCCCTTCACTCTGTTTCTCTCCTGCCATGATGTGAAGACATGCTTGCTTCACCTTCACCCTTCTGCCATGATTGTAAATTTCCTAAGGCCTCCCTAGCCATGCCTCCTGTATAGCCTGTGGAACCATAAGTCAATGAAACCTCTTTTCTTTAGAAATTACACAGTCTCAGGTAGCTCTTTACAGTAGTGTGAGAGTGGACTAATACATATATTTATTTAAGCAAAAAAAAGAAAGGTAAATTTTAATGAGCATTAAGGAAGAGTATAGGTGGTAAACAGTTGTAACAAGGCTGGGTGTAGTGGTTCACACCTGTAATCCTAGCACTTTGGGAGGTGGAGGTGGACAGATTGCTTGAGCCCAGAAGTTAAAGACTAGCCTGGGCAGCATAGGGAGACCCTGTCTCTACACAAAAATACAAAAATTAGCCAGGCATGGTGGCACGTGCCTGTAGTCCCAGGTACTGAGGAGGCTGAGATAGGAGAATTGCTTGGGTTCAGGAGTGGAGACTGCAGTGAGTTGCACTCAAACCTGGACCACAGAATGGGAATCTGTCTCAAAAAAAAAAAAAAAAAAAACAGGTATAACAAAATTCCTGATAGGAGTATGGGAATGGTTCAAGTTTAAAACCAAGGGCTCTTGTCAGTCAGAGCCAGGACTCCGGAGCCTGGTGAATCTGGATTTAAATTCGGAAACCTCGGCTTACCAGCTATAAGACCTGAGATTATTGTGGATCCTTTTCATCACACATGACACAAAAATCACCTACTTTTGTACACTCATTCTCATAGCAGCATTATTCACAGTAGACAAAAAGTGGAAACAACCCAAGTGTCCATCAATGGATGAATGGATAAACACAAGGTGGTATATTCATACAAGGGAATATCATTTAGGCTTAAAAAGGAAGGAAATTGGCCTGTCAGGGTGACTCACGCCTGTAATCCCAGCACTTCGGGAGGCTGAGGTGGGCAGAGCACTTGAGGCCAGGTGTTCTAGATCAGCCTGGCCAACGTGGCAAAACCCTGTCTCCACTAAAAATACAAACATTAGCTGGGTGCGGTGGCACACGCTTGTAATCCCGCCTACTCGGGAGGCTGAGCAAGAGAATTGCTTGAACCTGGGAGGCAGAGGTTGCAGTGAGCTGAGATTGCTCATTGCACTACAGTCTGGGCAACAAGAGCGAAATTCTGTCTCAAAAAAAAGGAAGGAAATTCTGACATATACAGTACTGCAACATGAGTGAAGAGTGAGAACATCATGCTAAGTGAAATCAGCCAGGCACGGAAGGACAAATACTGTGTGATTCCACTTAAGTGAGGTACCTAGAGTAGTCAATTCCAGAAAGACAGAGTAAAATGGTGTTGCCAGGAACTAGGAGAGGAGGGAATGGGGAGTTATTGTTTAATGGGCATGGAGCGTTAGCTTTGCAAGATGAAAAGAGTTGCGTGGACAGATGGGAGTGATGGTGGCACAGCGACGTGAATGTACTTCATGCCACTGAACTGTGTATTTTAAAATGGTTAAGATGGTAAATTGTATGTTAAAAAAAGTACACGTAAAAATCAACTATTGGATGAAGAAGAAATTTTATTGCCTCAAATATGGGGAAGGGTGGAGAAGAATCAGGAGCCTCAGGTGTGACTGTATCCAGGACTTTGTCCACATAGAACAATGATGGAATCCTCTGAAACTCGAACCTTCCTTCCCCCGCAAAAAAAATTTCCAAGGGACAGACTGTGATTGGCCCAGCTTGGGTTAAATGTTTGTCCTATCCCTGACCAGTCCTATTGATATAGGCGGTAGAAAGAAATTATTTAGCAGATAGTGAGGGTTAAAGAGTGCTTGGTAGTGCTTTCCTTTAAACAAAAAGCAGCCCAAGAAATCTTTTTTTTTTTTTTTTTTTTTTTTTTTTTAACAAAGAGAGCCTAAAAAATCGAGCGGCAAGCATAAATAAGGAGGCTGGAAGCTTGCACAGGGGAGTGTTGGCAGCTGTGCCAATAGAAAAGGGCTACCCGGGAGCCAGCCGTGTCCAACATGGAGGCTCCATCTTCGCTTTTATTGTTACCACATGTACAGTAAAGGAATAGGCAACATGACGCAGGCCAGGCAGAGGACCTGCCTGCATAGTAAAAGACTAGAGTGAGGGTGGCCAGAAATTCCCACCCTATGCAAATGGCACACCTAAGTCCTAACCAGTTTTTTGCGGCCTATGCAAAAGGCACGCCTGGTCCAACTGATTCCCACCCTATGTTAATAAGACACCACCTCCTCAAGCTCATCTATCTAACTCCATGCATTTCACCATGGAACCAGCAACCTATTTCTCTGAGATTTCTGTCTGCAGCAGAGAGCTCTTCTCTTTCACCTGTTAAAACTTCCATTCTTAACCTGACTCTTTGTGTGCCTGCATCTTTGATTTTCTTGGCTGCGAGACAACAAACCTCAGGTATTACCCTAGACAACGAGGCTGCTTCACTGTGCCAACGGATGGGGTCTCTGGTTGGACAGTGCTAGGTTTTACATTCCTGGACAGCCAAAAACAATGGCTACCTCCATGGTTAAGGAGACTGGGTCCCAAGAAGGACCTAGACCCTTAAAGGAAAAGATGAAAGGGAAAATCTGCCTCAGTGCTTTAAGGAGAGGAGCAGGGGAAAGGGAGAAGAGAACTTCCAGGAGTTCTCTGTCTCCAGGTCCTGGAGACAGAGAAAACTTGAGAGTGACCAGGGAGTGACCATGGCATCCTGACACCCATGAGAAGTCACCTGGATACCCAAAAGGACAGGTAGCATCTTGGGGAGCAGGGCCTAGAGACTTTCCTGAACATGGCTGCATCGTGTTGCACATGCTGCTGCTGGGGAGACGAACCACAGTGGAAGACGGGCGAGGGGCTTTCAGAACAAGGTGGCTTAATGTTGAATGTGAAGCTGTCTACTTGATTAATGGCAAATCTCCAACCATCCACTAATCTCGATTGAAGCCTGTGGCACAGAAAAGTTTTGCATGAATGGGGTATTTGGGAAAACTCAGGGGGACTGAATTCATCTGAATCAGTGTGAGGTAGAGTGGAGTTGCAAGTACAGCATGGAACCACAGACCATGGAGCCAAGTCCACTTACTTCATCAACTAAGCCAGTAAAATAGCAGCTCAGAGCCGCAGGGGCCATGACCTTATAAATCCCCGATGCCTCCTCCCCACCCCAATTTTCCAGGGAATTTGTAGAAGTGTCATGGAAGACATTGGATTTCCCAGAGAGTTTTCTCTAGATCTTATGCTTTTCAGGAATGTAACCACAGCTTTTGGCTAGAGTGGCTGTAAGGAAGTAGAATGCGGTTTTTTTGTGTTTGTTTTTGTTTTTTTGTTTGTTTTTGTTTTTGTTTTTAATTCTGAGATAGAGTCTCACTCTGTTGCCCAAGCTGGAGTGCACTAGCACGATCTTGGCTTACTGCAACATTTGCCACCCAGGTTCAAGCGATTCTCCTGCCTCAGCCTCCTGAGTAGCTGTGATTATAGGCATCCACCCTCATGCCTGGCTAATTTTGTATTTTTAGTAGAGATGGGGTTTCACCATGTTGGCCAGGCTTGTCTTGAACTCCTGACCTCAGGAGTGATCTGCCGCCTTAGCCTCCCAAAGTGCCGGGGTTACAGGCCTGACCCACCGCGCCTGGCCAGAATACAGTTTTTAGAGCAGAGTTCTGGAGCCAGACATCCAGGTTTTGGGTCCTGGCTCTGCCACTCTTTAACTGTAGGACTTTGGACAAGTTGTTTCATCTGCACGTGTGTAGGTATGTACTGCGTATAAAGCACATAGAACAATTCACATTGTTCATCACTGTGCTCATCACCAGCTTTTACCCGAGTCATGCCTCTGTGGACAGCACACACAAAAAGTAGAAACTCAATTAATTGGCAACAGTGATTATTCTAAGGAGGCCTGCATGGTCTCTGGCCTCTGCTCTACCCTACTCAGAGTCCTGTGTGTCTCGGCTCTAGGAGGGGCAGAATCCCTTTCTCAGGATGCCCTAACTGCCATCGGTCCTTCAGTTCCCCAGAACATAAAAGAACCAGGGAAGCCCCACGTGGAGGTAGCACTTGGGCTTTCCCATGGGAGTGGGGAGTGGGGATGGCTCCGTGCAGCCCATCTCTCTCCTGGAATCAGTGACCCCAAGCACAGGCCTCCCGCTGCTAGGAAAGTGGAAATGCCCTCTCCCAGGGAAGACAGGGTTTTATTTAGTAGGCTTTTCACAGTAGGGGATCAGGTGCTGCTGTGAAGGCGGTGGAGAAAGAAACACCCCTGAACCCTTGGAGCTGCTCTTGAGCAACGCAGGGGCAGGTATTAGGGCTCCTCAGCTCTCTGCCCTCGGCTTCGATGTGTTCTCCTCTGTGTTCTGGCTTGAATGCATCCGGAGGACTTGAGCTTCTCCAATGTACTCTAGTGGGGGGAGAGACAGCAGGCAGGAGAGGACCAGGAAGGCAGGGCCACTACCTGGGAGCTGCAGGTGGATATGTGAGTGCTGAGAGGGAGGTTTGAGTCAACCGCAGCTCCTGCTCTCAGCTCTGCTGGTGATGGAGGAGGGAATCCGACTTGAGAGGAATGGAGTGATTCCCTTCTCCGAATGGAATCTAACCTCCCTTCTTTCAACATCCAAGTAACAAATATCAATGAGGTGCCTATTCTGTGCCTGTCAGCCAGGCACTCTGGACCATTGATGGTCTAATTAGGGAAAATAAGATACATCGAGGATGTGTTTCCTCTTCTCTCCCCCCCAGCCTACTGCACCCCTGTCCCCCACTCTAGTCTAAGGCACCAGGATGAACGCAGTGGTCTCCCTCGCCCCTTCTTGTCTCCCATAGTCCATGCTGCACACAGAGGGGGCACGCCCCCCCTGCTCATGACCCTCTTACGCATCCATGCACACACCTGGCCTTTACCGCAGGCCGGCTTCTCCCACCTGTCTCATCCCTCCCTTACCACTGTCCCCCACAGAAGGCCTTGGCCACCATGGTCTGCTTGCTTTTCCACCAGCGCACCAAGAGGTGGGAGTTTTACTAGCTGGCTCTTCCTAGACTTGGGCAGGGCTGGATCTTCCCTGCTGTTCAGCTCTAGGAGCCCTCTCTCCACCTGCCAGTCCTTGTCACTACCGACCACAGAACCCTGCTTGTTCTCCTTACAGTATCTGTCCCCACTCATCCCCAGGTGTTTTTATTTGTTGTCTGTATGCCTCCTCTCTGGGATATAAGTTCCGTGACAGCAGGAAGTTGTCTGAATTCTTCCTCAATGATCCCCAGAGCTCAGCATGCTGTGGGTGCTCAATAAATATTTGTTAATGAATGATTGAATAGGTGAAGTGAGCCGCTTCCTTGGGCAGGGACTCATCTCCACATTGACTGAAATCTCCTGAGAAATCCAGCCACAGTGGGCCTCGGTGAGCCCCCCTGAATGACCCACTACTTGGAATCTTACCTGGTTTTTCACTTTTTGAAAAAGGTGGTATTTTCGTTTTCTTCGGGGATTGACTGTAACCAAACACAAAGGAGGGGCTGGGAAGGTTATGCAGGGTAGACGGGGAGGTGGGGAAGGCAGTAGAGGCGCAGGCAGCTGTCTGCTCCAGGGAGAGGCAAGAGCCACCCCTCCTGGAGGACCAGAAAACATCTGTCCATGGCTAGCACCCAGGTGGCCTTCCTGTGTCACCCCAGGCCAGACCCAGACAACTGTGGCCCTGCTGTCTGCAGTTAGTTCCACTGGGAATAAAGACCCTCCTGTCCCTGGAGCAACAAGGGATGGACTCTGCACCAGCCCTCCCCCAGCCCTCACTCACTCGTCCCACTGGTTTCCTTGTGGACTCCCCTTTGAGGGACAAGACAAGAACCCTGCGTCTTGATGGAATTACAGTATGAAAGATACTCTTCTGTCTTGTATTGGGCTTTACACCTCCCCACGCCTTTTAATGCGCCTGATGTTACTTTCCCTCCCTACGACTCTGGGAGAGGTCTTTTGAGAGATGGATGAAGCTGACTTTTGCAGCTGGGAGGTGGTTTGCGCAAGGTCACAGTGAAGCCCGTCTTCCTCAGTGTTCCTCCTCTGCTCTCTCAGAGTGGAAGGGAACACCAAGTCCAAGGCCGTGCAAGAACATGCCTTCAAGAAATCTGTCCAGCCCCTACCCCTGCTTCTTCTTGCCAAGCCCACCCATGCTCCAGACTCACCAAACTTGGCATTCCCCAAGTGGATACCTTCCTGATTTCCATGCCTTCGCCCCGGCTGGTCCCACTTTCGGGGATGATCTTTTCCCGTGCTTTTATTTGCTCAATCAAATCCTATCCCTCCTATCAGTGTTCCCCAAACTCTGTTGGAAACACTCAGGTGACTTAAAAATACAGGCCCCCCTGCTTCACCCCTGGCCTGCTACATTGGAATCTCTAGGGGTCTGCATTTTTAACACTCCCGGGGCAAAGCTGAGTGGGGCTGGGCTTGGGAGTCAGATGGGTCCGGGTCTGAATCCCAGCCCTTCTGTTGACCAGCCAGGTTACTTTGGGAAGGCCATTCAGTTGTTCCTGAGCCTCAGTTTTCCCATTTGTAAAATGAAGCTAATACTGCCTCTGTGGGTTGTTGGATGGACTAGAAAAATGTGAAGCACCCAGCGGTGTCAGGCACTTATCCAGCTCAGTGTGGCCTTGCTGACTCTCAGGCTCCACCCACCTGCTTTGTGAGGCCTCCCCCAGTTGGTAATCTTTCTCCTCCAGTCATCAGGGCACTTGGTACTGGTATAAAGGCACCGCCTCGTGTTAGCATTTCCTCTTTACTCACGTCTTCCCATAGACCAAAGAGCTTCTGAAGGGCTAGGTGTGGCTAAACTGGCCCTGGTTACAGCTGACACTGGTGGTCCCCTCCACTGCTCTCCCCACCCTGGCAGCCCGGGGTGGTCTGGCTTTGGGCAGCACTGGAAGGTCTCCCAGACAGGCTGAGTCAGCCCGGGCCCTGGCCAGTGCCAGGCTCCTTTCTCCAGGTCCCACTGGCCTCACCTGGGAGGACAGAAGGCTGCAGAAGGGCAGGGGAGGGGTGCGGGGCCCACCTGCAGGGTGGCTCTTGCTTCTCTTGAGGAGGTTCCTGCATTTCTTGGAGCTGGTTTAGGAGGTTTTCTGTAGGAATGGAGACTAGGGGCTGCGGAAGGAGCTGGGCCACCGCTGTCTGCAGGAGTCCCAGAGCCAGGTCTTTTTCTGAAAGCATAGCCTGGGGTCAGAGTCCTCAGTCCCCAGCCCCCTTCCTGTCTCTGCAGGGGGTGGGTTGGGGGCAGAAGCAGGGCCTCCAGCTCTTGCTCAGCCCTGTGATCCAGGGCAGTTTTCTCTAAGCATCCCACCTTCTGCCCTCAGGTCCCCTCAGGAGAGCTCCCCCTTCTCTCCTGGCCTCCGTGTGCAGAGCCCCCAGCCCTTCCACATCCCTGTCCTGCCACACAAACATATGTGTACCTTGTTCTCAGCCCCAGCTGGCCCTCCTGCCCACCATGTCCCCGGGCCCACTCTAGGAAGTTACCCAGAACTTGCCTTCCTCCTCCTCTTCCTTTTCTCCCCCCACTCTTCCCCCTCCTCCTCCTCTTCCCCCTCCTCCCCCTCTTCCCCCTCCTCCCCCTCTTCCCCCTCCTCCCCCTCCCCACCCCCCTCCCTCTCCTCCATCTCTCTCCTATCTAGGAAGTCTTCTCCAGCTAGCTTCCTGGCTCTCATCACTCCTCACCCTTCTACTCAGATGCCCCCCCACCCCCTGTCCCAGTGTGCCCATGTGTGTATTCATGTTTGTGTGTATATATGTGTGTGTCCCTATGTGTGTATACTTGCACCTGTGTGTGTGTGGGTCTCCCACTGCGGTGTGTGAGGGGCTGTGTCTGCTAAGTACAGTCTTTGGATTTCTCCCTCCCAGGTGCCGAGGCCTGGGGTCAGCATGAAAGGGGGTCCCCTCCAAGAAGCAGGGGTAAGGAAATCCTGCTAAAGAATGGGGGAGGAGGAAGCAGAGATACCGTCCGGCTGGGAAAGGCTAGTTGGGGGCTCCAAAATGGAGGAGGAGAGGCCCCATGGAAGGGCCCCTCCGGGGTGGGAGCAGAGTGACGTTTGAGTCCTGCAGAACCAGAGATCAAGGGCAGGACCTTGGGAGCCTCCACTAAGACAGTGCTGCCGGGCTGTGTCCTCACCCTTGGGCGGAGCGTAGAGCAGCCAGAACTGGATCGCACTCAGTGAGTCTGTTTCCAGGATCTGACACAGGAGCTCCAGGACCTGTGAGCAGGAGGCCAGCATGTTCCAGCCAGGAGTCCAGGCAAATGTAGGTTTGGAGGGCACCAAGGGGCCCCTTCCACCAAAGTGGGCTCCCAGAGGTGCCTGCTGGGCTAAACGTTCTTCCACAAGTTTCCCTGCCTTTTCTCACATTGGACGTCATGCTTAACAGAGGGATTTCTCTCACAACAGCCCTGGAGGAAGATTCTAAACCTTCCTGCTGGACAGGTGGGGAATCCGAGGCCCTGAGAGGGGACGCTAGCGGGAAGTTGGTGGCAGAACGCGGCCTCAGCTGTCAGCTCTGTGGACCCCACATCCCTGCAGCCTGATCGGCTGGTTATTCCCTCGGGCCCCACACGGGGAAGCCAAGGGCAGAGCTGGCCAGTCAGCTCCTCAGAGACATACCAAATCCCACATGTCAGGGCCTCGGTATGGGGATTTAAGGAACCCCATGCACGCCCACCCGAAGGTCCTGGAGTCTGGAGATGTTGGAAGAGGTGGGGGAAGCCCAGCGAGCAGCCCGAGGGGCAGCACAGGCCGGTCCTGCAAACCGCGCAGCGCATGGCTCCCTCCCACAGAGCAGGGGAACGCTTGGCTCCTCGCGTCATCCTCAGCCTTTGACATCTTTGCTACTTCTGGGCTCATTTTCCCCTGTGTTCTTCAGTCAGGTAGCATCAGAAAAAGGCCCAGCTCTGTCTCCGATGGGCTACGGGGGCTCCCTAGGCCAGATTGCTGCTGGTGGCTGTAGCTATGGCAGGCTGGAGTTGGGGCCCAAGGTGAAACATGGAACCCCTGGAGTCCTAGGAAAGTGAGGCCCTCTCGGCTCTTGGCGGTCCATCACCCCAGGACCTGGAGGGGCCCGTCGGTCCCCAGCAGGTCGGCCTCATCCTCAGCAGAGTGGAATCTGGGCTGGACCTCTCCCCAGGCCGCTGCCTGCTTAGCGGCCCACCCTGGCCCTCAGGTGCCCACCCGCTGTGCTGACCCAACCTGACCTGCCCCTGGGCCCTTCTCTATTCTCTGAGTCCAACTTACCTGCCCTGTGCCCCCTCCCTACAGGACCCGAGAACCTAATTCCAGGCGAGATGAGGCCGCCTTATGGTGGAGAAAGCACCTTAGTCCTGACTATGCTGCTCCTTCTCAGGGGACCTGGCCCATGGACCTATCACTTGGCAAGGCCTCAGCCTCCCCATCCCTGGCATGGGGGTACCAGGCCCTATCTGCTCTATCCACTTTGCTCCACTGTGGCAAGGTTTCAGCGAGAGTGTGTGTTTGGCAGTGCTGGTCACAAGGAAGGTGGCTGGATGCTAGCTCCACCTCTGGCCGTCCTTGGAGGACACTGTGCATTTTCACAGGGACCCCCGATACCTTAACCCACGGGGATGAGGTATGGACTCATCTCAGGCCTCAGTGGGGAATGTGAGCATAGAGGAGGCGGGCTCTGTGCTCACTGAAGCACAGGCCAGGTCCCTCTCTGAGTGTGCACACCAGGCTGGGCCTAGCCGTGCAGGCTATGGGGTGTGGCCTGCTGGGGTGGACAGGAACTCCTTCTTCACCCACCATTGCAGCTCCCTTCACTAACCCATCAAATGCCATAGCTGGAAGGGGCCCTCGATGACAAGGCATTTATGCTTCCAGTGGATAGATCACAGAACCAGGGCCCAGAGAGGGGAGAGGACTCATATGGAAACCTAGAGGCAGGGGGGTCATAGCCCCAGCTGCTGACTCCCCAGGGCTGGAGTTTTCTGGTCTTAATAGTCCTAGGAGCCAGTATCCCTGAGACGGGCCTTGCCCTAAAGCGGTTTGTAAGACTCCTGATTTGGAGAGCCAGGAGCCTAGGAGCAGAACCGGGGCCTCACCAGCAGCTCCTGATCCTGAAGGAGGAAGGCCCCGATTCCTTCGTCTCTGCTCGAAGACTGGCTCCCCTCGCTCTGGTGGGAGCTGCGGTGGCTGACAGCCCGGGTGGAAGTGGGAATGAGCCTCCCAGTCTCCGCTGAGTACTTTGCCCCCTGCTCCCGTGGAGGCTCCTCCTTCTGCTGGGACAAAAGTGGCCAGAGACTCCAGGTAGTCAGCAAACAGAAAAGAAGAGGGCTGAGGGGAGGAGAGAAGGAGGAGGCTGGGTCACAATTCCAGGGCACTGTGCCCCCCAAACCCCAGCAGCACAGTGTTGCCAGGGTCTTAGGGTCTCATCCAGGTCTGCCCCCCACCCCCACCTGCCCTAGACCCCTCCTTGGCATCCCCAGCCCTCTCTCCAGCAGCCAGACCTCCCACTATCAGCTCTCATGCTTAAACTAGCAAAAGCTCCTCCTCCTGGAACTCAGTAATGGAGGGTCGATCGCTGGATGCTTGCAGCTGGTTCTCGTTTTTCTTCCCAGGTAGGTCCTCCCTGCTGCCCCTCCCACAGCCATCAGAGATCTGAAGAGCATCCTGCACCAAGGGCCCACCGCCTACCTTAATTCCCAGCTCAGCTGCCCCCCAGGTCTGTCCCAGAGAGGCCAGGGGTCTCCTGCCCTTGCAATTCCAGTTAAGACTGGTAGTATCCTTCTCCTCATTTTAAAGATAGAAAAACTGAGACCCAGACAGCTCAGCTGAGTTGTCCTGGGTGCTGCACCGAGTTAGCTGTGAGCAGGAATGAGATGCCGGGCTTCTGCCTGCCCACTCTGGTTGCCTGAGACAAGGGACAGGACCAGAGACTGTCCTAAGAGCAATTCCAGTCACCTTCAAGCTGTCTCTCAGGTGACTTTACTGTTTTATCACCAAATGGCACCCATGGAGTCACCCCCATCATGTTTGAAAACCTTTGAGATTCTCTGCTCCTTATGTGATTAGACACTAAAAGATTTGGAGATTAAGAACAAGCTGCTCCTTTCCACATTCAGTTGGCCCCCCCACACCTTTCCCATTGCTGCCCACTTATGGCCCAGTCTCTGATGGTGCCCTGCCTTTGCCAGCTTTGCATCTGCTGTGCTGGGTGCCTCTGCTCAGAACTCCCAAGTCCCCTTGTGAACATCTCACTTAGATAATATTAATGTATTAATCAGTGCCCCCCCACCCACCCGGCCTAGGCTGAACTGACTCAGGAGGGATCTCCTCACATAGGGATGAATCTGTTTCACCTCTTCCCAGACTAGCTCCTGTGTTCCACGCCCACCTCATTCTTCTTCAGCTCATCCTTCTTTGTGAAGAAGGCCACCCGGGAAGCCAGCTCCTTCAACTCCCTCTTCCAGGCTTCTGGGAGGAGAAGACAAGGTCCTGCCAACTGAAGTCAGGGGACCTCGTCCCCTCCCTGTACCACCAGACCTTGGTAGAGGAGTCTGCTGTCCTTCCTGGCCTCCCTACCTGGATCTCAAACGGAAAGGGGGAGGCGGTGCCCTGGAGGGAGAAGGATCTGGATTCACAACATGAGTGGTGGTTGTGGCAGTGGGTAGGGTGTGGGAGTTGGGGGTAGCTTTCCTTCTAGCGGGTGCTGATGTTGATGTCCTAGCCTGTGGCATTTCTAGGAGATGCTGGAGAACAACTGACTACCTTGTGCCAAGATGCACATGGTTTAATCTAGCTTTGCCCCTTTTAGGTCCCTGAGACTAAGACTGAAGCTGAGGAGATATGAACAGGCCTGTTATTAAGAAATCAAACTACTTCCCAGAGAGGGTGGCAAAGAGAGCCACAGCCAGCCTTCCAAGTCTCTCTGCCCTGCACCAGCAGCCCCAGCCCCTTCTCCAGGATCTCTCCCCTGTCCCCACCAAACTGACTTCCAGCACCTCGGTCATGGAAATGGTAAGACTTGGCAGAGCAGAGGCCCCCGGAACGCCGCACCAGCACTGTGGCTGATTGTTCTGGTTGGCCAATGCCTGAATACACAAGCTGCTAAATATTTCCTGTAGCATTCCAGCCTACAGCTGCCAAGTCACATGACTGCAGGCTCAACATCTGCTTGCCCTCTGTGTGTTACTGCTTCTCAAGCACCTCAAATCCAAGCAGGGGTTCATTTCTGCTGGCTAGGATTTGCTGCGTGGGGAGTGATACAGAGATGAGGCTGTCCAAGGAAATGAGAGAAAAAGTGGGGTTCCCCCAACGGACCTCACTGACCTAAGAGCGATGGCCCTTTCCTTCTGGGTACCCGCCCAAGTGAGGCAGCCCTTGGGGAGAGGCCTGAGCCCCAGGAGAGAGGGAGGTATGTCCCAAGTACCCACCAGAAGAAAGCCGGGGGTTCCGGTTAGACTGCGGGTCTCCAATGGGGACAGAGATGGTGGGCATCCCCATTTGACAGCCGGAAAAGACAGTGGACTCAGGCAAGGGGGCTGGAGAGAATTTGTCCCTGATGACACAGACAGGCTTCCCGGCGAAATCTGCAAAGGGTTAGAGGCTGTGGGAAGGGAGGCTTAGGTGGACCTTAAGAGCTCCAGGAGGCTGGGAAGAGGCTGAAGGGCAGGGTGATTCTGGCTCCACCTCTTCCAGTAACCACAAGCTGATGGATCATCAGAACTGGGAGGACCTTGCAACCACCCAGACCAGCAACCACCGCACCCACGGGGGGACCTTAGAATGGACAGGGGAGGGGACTGCTCAGGGCTACACTGTGAGTTGGGCAGAAGGGAGACAAGAACCTAGGTTTGCTGGGCCCCTACTCCCGAGGACCTTCTGATCTCCTATGACAGGGCAACAAATTGCTGATGTGAGTACACAGGGGTAGGCAGGCAGCTTGAAGATGAGCATGCTAGGGTGAGGGCATGAAGTCACAGTTTGTGGCGGGAGAAGCCCCGGCTCACATCACAGGGAGAGGGATGGAGCCACACCCTCTGCAGAAAACTTCTGCTATCGGTCAGCCTGTGCAAGGCTGTGTGCAGGGCAGCCTGGAGGTGGTGGGGGCCATTTACATGTGAGGACCCTTCTTGCTAACCCTAGGTGATTATTGCATCACTATTGATAGGGAGGCTTGAGGCCTGGTGAGGACTTAGCAGGGCTGCTCTCTGCCCCCTAAAACACTTTCCTTTTGGTGCCAGGACCTCTTGCTCTTGTCCTGGCTCACCACCACTCCTCATCTCCTCTTGCCGACTTCTCATCTTCTCACCCTCTTAATCTCAGGGCCTCCAGGGACCTGTCCCCAGGTTTTTATCTCCTGAACCTACATGGACTCCTTGATGATCCCATCAAGTCCTGCCACTCGAAACACCCCCTCTCGAATGGCTCTCATGCCTGTGTCTCTGCCCTGAACTCCAGATCCGACTGGACACCCTGTACCTCCGCCTGGAGGTCTAGAAAGCATCTCATGTCCTCTATGTCCCACATCCAACATCAAACCTCTGACTCCTCCCAGCCTGCACTAGCCCTTCTGCGGGTTTCCCTGTCTCAGTCCATGCACTCCAGTTTCCCAGGTGCTCAGGCCGAAACTCTCAGTCAGCCTGGACTCTTCCTCTCACATTCTACTTTTTTTTTTTTTTTGAGACGGAGTTTCGCTCTTGTTACCCAGGCTGGAGTGCAATGGCATGATCTCGGCTCACCGCAACCTCCGCCTCCTGGGTTCAGGCAATTCTCCTGCCTCGGCCTCCTGAGTAGCTGGGACTACAGGCACGTGCCACCATGCCCAGCTAATTTTTTGTAGTTTTAGTAGAGACGGGGTTTCACCACGTTGACCAGGATGGTCTCGATCTCTTGACCTCGTGATCCACCCGCCTCGGCCTCCCAAAGTGCTGGGATTACAGGCTTGAGCCACCGCGCCCGACCTCACACTCTACTTTTAAGCAATCACTGAGTCCTGTTGGCTTTACCTTCTATATATCTCCAGGATAGAGCCACAGAGTCTTCCATTTCTAGCCTCTGCTCCAAGCCACAATGAAGACAGAGGCCAGGATGACCTTGCTAAAATTTGTCACTTCTGTGCTCTCAACCTTCCGAGGGCTCCAGTGGACTCAGGGAGGTGGCTTAATGGTGGCAATAGTGGCCCAAATGCCTAGGTGATCTGGGCCCACCGTCTCCCTGACGCCTTCTCTGTTCTCCCCCTCCTACTTACTCCAGCCAGACCAGCTTCTGCTTCCTTGCGGCTCCTCCAACAGAGTGGGAGCACTCTTGCCTTCTGGCCTTTGTATTTGCTAATCTATCTGCCTGAGACATCCTTTTCCCTTTGTGTGCACAGCTCCAATAGTTCTTTGCTCAAATGTCATGTTAATTGCTGTGTGTTCTGTGACCACCTTTGAAAAATAGCAATCTTCCCACCACAGCCTGGGCACTTGACACCTTCCCTGTCTCCCATCCCTCCCCACTGCAGGTCAGCTCCAGGAGGGCGGCCACTATGTCTGTCCTGCTCACTGTTGTATCCCCAAGGCCTACAAAAGTGCCTGACCCGTACTTCACAGTCAATAGATATTTGTGGCTGGCTGGACAGCTGAGCGGCTGATGTGGCCTAAGGTAGAGAACAGAGCACCGCTCCAGGACAGAACTTATCCCTTTCTCTGATTTGTAAAATGAGAGAACCCAGCAGTCAGGGGAATCCTGCATGGAACCTGCCACCCACCCTTGGAGCCCATGCTGCTCTCCTGCCCATCAAGGCGCAGTTCTGGCTTGGGTGCTTGGCAGCTCTGGGATCCTGGCTAGGCCCCCATCCTCTTCGGGTCCCAGCCTGGAAAAAGGCTGCCATCGATTCTTCCTTCCCAGTTCTCAAGATCAATTGTGATACTCCCTCTACTCCCACCCTGACCAGCCAGGCTGTACCTTGGATGTGGGTCACATGCTGGGGGTGTGGGTGGTGCCGGGAGAAGAAGGAGTTGTGACTGAGGTGTCCAAAGTGGTAGGTGCCCGGGGTTTGGGGCTTGGGGGTCCTCAATGCCCGGCGGATCCGCTCGAAATCCACAATGCCTGGGATCACCAGCTCTTTCTGTGGCCCGCTGTCCCCGTGGCTCTTTGGCTTGTGTCCTGACTTCTCAGGTTTCAGCTCAGCCTTTGGACTGAAGGAAAGGGTTTCAGGAGAAGCTAATGGAGCCTCCTCTGCTAGTGGGGCCCACCCAGGCTCATAGCTCAGTGCTTATCACAGAGCCCGTTTCCGAGGAACTCTGAAATCTGGTTTCCTGGGTTTCACCACCACCCACATAGCACCAAAAGCTAGGCCTCCCCCAGAGTCCTTTCCCAATGGCTGCAATCCAGTCCGGTTAGTGTTTCTTATTAGGGAGCTAGCATCCACTTGAGGGAGCTCAGACTCTCCCAACACCCCCGTTTTTTCCCAGAGACCATATCTAAAACCAGAAAGAGAAGCTGCAGGCCCACCTACTCATCAAAACACCTTTGTATATGGAGCAAAGTCACCTTATATACACCCTCTGGGATGGGGCGGGCCCCAGCAAGGGCCTCTCCCCAAGCCAGGCTGTGGACAGCCCAGAGGCCAGCTGTAAGCTGTCAACCTCCCCCAATGCACTCAGGAGCAGTCTTGGCCCAGACTCAGCGTCTGGAGGCCACAGCTGAAGCTTAGGCCAGACCACACCAGCAAGTCCTATTCCCATGGGGTGTCCCTCCTAGGAGAGGAAGAGCTGATACAGCAACTACTGGGGCTGTGACTCTGCAGGGAAGCTTCAAGCTCTGTTCTGCTTCACTGGAGACAAGCTGGCTTGGGTTTTCTGTCTTCTACCCCATACCCCTCCCCTTCCTAAGGACGCTGTGCCTCTGCCCTTGGAGGAAGGTCAAGATCAGCAAAAGTGGGCTATTCCCCACCCGGGGCCTTCTGGGACCACCTGCCTGATGGCTGTCTACATGCCCTTCTCCCGGTGGCCCTGGCTGAAGGGAGTCCTTTCGGAATACCGATGGACTCTGGATGTGCTAAGCAAGGCGTGCTGTTCCCGGACCCTTTAAGGACTTTGCTGACCCAGCCCCTGAGTTTCCTGTTCCATTCTCCACTCGCCTCTAAGGGATCTGAGGCTTAAAGAAATGAAGCAAACCTTCTCTGAAAGTTGCAGTGAACTGTCTTCTTCTACCCCCAAGTAACAGAGCAAATCACCTCCTAAGAACCCCTGGAACTCCCATGCTTAGTGCTTCTGGCACCTGCTCAGGACTTTTCCCTGCCCAGGACGGGCACAACCCATAACCTGGTCTGACTTGGGCCTGAGGACCTGTTGGGGGCCTGGCTGACAGTCGGTGGAAGTCCAGGAAGAACCACTCTCTTGGACTCCTAATTTGCTGAGTTCCCCTAAGGCCACCTTTGTCTTCTACCCTGCCCTACCCCAAGCCCTCCTCTGTCAGCAGGGTGGGCATTTGGAGCCTCACCTCATCAGTGGATGTTCAGCCAGTTGAACATCTGTAGCCATCATATGCTTTCCAGCAGACTAAAGACCAGTGCACTTAATATAGTGTTGAAGATGGAGGACAGGAACTCTCACGAACTGGTGGTAGAAGTGTAAATGGGAACAGACACTTTAGGGGGAGAAATGGTAACGTCTCATAAAATTGAAGATTTGCATGCTGTATCACCCAGCAATTTCTTTCCCAGATATAAGAGAAATTCTCACAGATGTGCAACAGGGGCTACTTATAAGAATATTCACAGAAACACTGTTCAAAATAGCAAAAACCTGGTGCCAACCCAAATGCTTGGTGGCAGAAGATAAGTAAGCTGGGGTGCATTCATACAATGGAATATTTTATTGCTATGAAAATAAAGAAGCCATAGCTTTGTGTAACGACATGGACGAATCATAATCAGTATGAGAAAACTTACAATTCTTGGCTATGGGATGTTATATTTATGCAATCTTATTAACTCAATTTGCTTTTTATTAATTACTATTAGGCTATGGTATAACAAGACATATGCATTTGAAACAATACAATTGTTGTCATCCACTATACATAATGTGTGGATAATATAACATGGAGTAACTACTAAACTGTGTAAATGTTGTGTTTATAAACATATTATTTCTCTTTCATAAATGGTTTAGGTTATGTGTGTTCCAGAGGACCCCAAGTTCCAGAAGACCACATAGCCTGAGATCCTTTCTAAACATAAAAGTTTAAAAGCAAGCAAAATGATCATGAACGTGATAAAACAGCAACAACAGCATCAAGCAAGGAGATGCTAACCACGAAATTCACATAGTGGCTGTTTCCAAGAAAGGGCAGGAAGAGAGGTGTGCAGGAAAAGGGCATGTAAGGAGATGTGTCTGTGGCGATGTTCTAGTTCTTGGTTTGGGTGGTGCATTTTCTGTGCTCATTGTATTATTAAATAAACTAATGAAATGACATAGATGAAAGATGATAGGTGTCAAAACCAAGAATTGTGATGAAATCTATGGACCTGAATATATATATATATATATATATATATATATATATATATATATATATTCAGCCAGAGTGCTAGGGGATGGTGTTGGGATGGGACATCAGTGCATTCTGAGAATTAACCCCCAGAGTCACAGAATCTGCCAAGGGACGCCGGAGAGCTCCCAACGCCAGCCTTCATCAGGTAAGGGTGGGATGGGTTGGTGTCTGAGATCAGCGAAGCAGGGGAGACTTGCTAAGATCACACAGAAAGGGGTCAGAGTCCAGATCAATCTGACTCACAGTTGACTGATCTTTTCTCTTTAAAAGGAAGCTCCAGACATCCTTGATGTCAGGCCCTGGGCTCTAGAGTACTTAGATGCTACAATCTTGAGAACAGGATATCTGGAAGCCCCAAATCCTCCTGCCTATAGGAAAAAGTACTCTTTAGAGCAGAGTCTTGCAAATACGTTTGGCTGTGATGACGGTAAGAAATTCTTTTTTATGTCGTGACCCAGTTTACACACGGGTGTCTGTGTGTGTGTATGTGAAATGAAACCAGAATATCCTAAGCAATACTTATTAGTACTACATGTGATGCCCACTGATATTTTTACCCTATTTTTGTTTTTTATTTCTTAAATGTTAGACGTGATCCATTAAATTGATCAAGAAGCCACCAGGGGGTCATAACCACAGTGGCTGTAGAGAGGTCGGCAGGGAGGGACTCTAGTAGGCAAACTGTACCTTGTCCAGAGCAGGACAGGTGGGACCCCAATGTAGTCTCCCTGCCCAGCCCCTGCTCTCTGTGCCCAGGCCCCCAGCCAGCCAGGCAGAGGGGTCTGAAGGCTCCCACCAATCCCCCCACAGAACTTCCCTTTCTACCTCTGCCCTTCTGGGCTCTTCAGTGTCTCCTCCTCTCCGAGAAGTCCCTGGACTCACCAAGGTGGTGCTCGCTGCAGGATGTGCACAAGAAGCCCTGCTGCCCCAGCAGGGAGGAGCAAGAAGACAAATCGAGGGAAGGCTGTGGGTTCTGTGGGCAGGTCTGCCTGCTTTGTGACACTGGGCCCAGTGGTTGCTAGGTTACCCCGTTCCCGCAACTCCAGAACCTCTGCCCAGCACCCCTCTACCACACCCCCACCTGTCTGTCTCCTCTTTCCCCCTCCTGGAAGGGCAGACAAGGGCTGAGGACCTTCTGTCCTTCCTGGCTTCCCCGCTGCCTCCCATTCACTTTCAATGGGGACAAAGGGAGTGAAGGAGAGTCTGGGGCTGGTTTTAGCCAGCGAGCAGCAGACGGAGCACAGAAAGCTGGCAGAGGGTGTTGGTGGCCTGCGTCCCAGCTTTGTCAGTCCCACCTGGCCTGCCCCCACCACACGGCTTCCATGCATTCTGGTTCTGGGAACTCATTCTCAGGGGGCTGGATCCTAGAAGGAGAGAAGGAGACAGCCCAATTACCCAGAGGGTCCCTCCAGCCGCTCTCTGCATGATAGCTGGGTGGGAAGATTCTGGGCTTTCATTTGGACGGGTGTTCTAATCAGATTCCAATATCCCATAGACACATTACCTTGAGTAAGTCACCTGGACTGCCACAGATGCAAAAATAGTGGTAAGAATCCTTGCTTCAAGTCCCCGTTCTGCTACTTCCTAGTTGTGTGGCCTCAGACAATGCACCTGCCCTCTCTGAGCCTTAGTTCCCGTATCTCTAAAATGGAGATGATGCTGCACTTACTCTCACAGGATGTTTGAGAACATTAAGTGAGTCAATACACGTTGAAGTGTTTCAAACAGTGTCTGCCCCCAAATATAATTTCTTACTATAATTGCTGTCTCTGGGTCTGTAAAATGGGATATCCTCACCTACTTCTGCGGTTGTTCTGAAGACAATCTAATGGAGGTAAGCCCTTAGTCAAATGTCTGGCACACAAGAAATGCTCAAAAAGAATAATAACAATCATTATTATGGGTAACTTGATGGAGGTAGTGGGATGAGTCCTTCGTCTGAGAACTATCTTGGGTAGTTCACTTTATTTCTCTGAGGCTCAACTTGGGCACCTGTAAAATAGGGGTAAGGATAGTCCTTGGCCTACAGGGCTGTAACTTGATCAGATGCCAGGAGGGGTGTAGGCAGGCTGCGTAAACTATGGGAAGGCTTGCAGACAGCGCCGAGTGCTGTCCCTCAGAATGATGGAGTGGGCCTTTCCCAGATCGGCCCCTCCCAGCTAAGGGGTGGGGATTCATAGCACTGTGGTGGCCCCCTGAAGGCTGGCCTCTGGTCTTGGCCTATTCCAAGTGCCCACCCATCTTTCTGCAGGTCAGGATGTTCCCTGTCTTAAGCTCTGGCTTTTTCTGGGTCTGTCTTTGCAGGAACGAGGTGACTCTTTTGAAATCATCCTGAAACCCCCCTCTTCCATACTTCTGGGCATCCTAATGGCTGTGAAGATAGATGATATTGCATTTGGGAGAAGAGAGGCTTTCTTCCCGGTGACAAGCCACTCCTCCCTCCTGCTTTCGGCACTCCTGGGGCATTTCCCACCGCGTGAGCTGACTCAGCTGAAATGAAAGCCCACTCTCATCCTCCCCACTGGAGCCTTGTACTGCTTCAACTATGTTATTTACAATCCAACATGGCAGCCTGCATAGGGATTGCAGCTGTGAGAGATGAAAGGGTTCCTCAGGAAATGTCTTCAACATGATTGCAAAAGAAGAGCTGAGGAAACCCTTTTGATTTCTTTCTTTGTGGAGTGTCAGAAACAGGAGAGAGATCTGTCATCTTGGGAGTGATTTGTGCTACATTCCTTGGCCTGGATGACTTGGTTTTAACAGAAGCAATATAAACTTTATGGAACACTTCCTATGTGCCAGGCACTGTCCCAACCTCTTAGATCTATTACCTCACATCATCCTACACATGGGGAAATTAATGATCAGAGAAATCTTTAGTTATAAGTGTTGCAAACATATTCTCTCCTTTGTGTCTTGCTTGTCTATATCTAAATGCAGTTTTTGATAAAGAGAATTTCTAATTTTAACGTAAACCAATTTATCAATCTTGTCCTACCTTAATGGTTAGTGGGTTTTGTGTCTTAAGAGATCTTTGCCTACCCAAAGTTATGAAGATAATTTTCCTTTATTATTTTCTAAAGATTTACTGTTTTGCAGTTCACATTTAGATCTACAATCAATATGGAATGGATTTTCGTGTTTGGTGTAAGATAGGGGTCAAGATTTATATTTTTTTCCATATAAATATGCATTCGACCCAGTACCATTACTTAAAACATCGTCCCTATCTCTGCAGTGCCATCTTTACTAAAATTCAAGGATCCATATATATGTCTGTCCATATATATGATCCATACATATGGCCTGTCTCTGGACTTTCTGTCTACCATTGCACCAACACTATACTATGTTACTGTAGCTTTAAGTACATCTTGATGTCTAGGGGTATAAGACTTCCAGCTTTGTTTTTTAAGATTTTCTTGGGTATTCTAGTTCCTTTGCCTTTCCATACCAATTTTAGAATACTCTTACTGATATCTACAAACACTTTTGTTTAGATTTTTATAGGAATCAAGTTAAACTTCTGTATATATATGGGGAGAATGGATATCTTTACCATGTTGAGTCATCCAGTTCATGAACATGGTATGTCTCTCTATTTATTTATATCTTGTTTGATTACTTTCATCAGATTTCTATAGCTTTCAGCATAAAATCCCTGAACACATTTTGTTAGATTTTCACCTATTTCAATTTTTTAAAGGAAATGTAAATGGCATTATATTTTAAAATTTAGTGTCCAGATGTGGATTGCTAGTATATAGAAACACTATTAATTTTTGCATGTAAGTTTGTATCCTGCAATCTTGCTGAACTTATTAGTTTCTGGAGATATGTTGTAGATTCCTTGGAATTTTCTACATAGATAATAATATCATCTGCAAATGGGGACAGTTTTCTTTCTTTCTTTCTTTCCCATATATATGCCTTTTCTTTTCTTGACTTATTGCACTGCCTAGAATCTCCAATACTAAGTTGAATAACAGTGGTAAGGGCGGACATCCTTACTTTGTTCCTAATCTTAGGAAGTAGATGCAGAGTCTTTAACCACTAAATATAATGTCAGCTGTAGGTTTTTATGTTAAAGAAGTCCTTTTCTATTCCTATTTTTTCTGAGTGTTTTTTTTTCATAAATGGGTGTTGAATTTTATCAAATTGCATCAGCTAATATGATCACATGATTTTTCTTCTTTTACTTGTCATTATGGTGGATCACATTGATTTCTCAAATATTGAACCAGACTTGTATCCCTGGAATAAGCATCACTTGGTCATGATATACAATTCTTCTTATATATTGCTGGATTTTACTTGAAAATATTTTGTTAAGGATTATTACACCTATATTTATGATGGATATTGGTCTGTAGCTTCCTTTTTTATACTGTCTTTCTCTGGTTTGGGTATCAGAGTTATACTAATTTCATAAAATGAACTAGGAAGTGTTACCTCCTTTTCTATTTTCTGGAAGAGATTGTGTCACATTGGTGTTAATTCTTCTTCAAATATTTGCTGGATTTCTCCAGTGAAACTCCCTGGGCCTCGAAATTTATTTTGTTTTGGTGTTTTAAAATTGAAAATTCAATTTTCTTAACAGTTATGGGACTATTCAAGTGATCTATTTCAAAATGGGTGAGTTGTAAAGTTTTTGTTTTTCAAGGAGTTGGTCAATTTCTTTTATATTGTAAAATTTGTGTAGACTTGTTTTGTAATATTCTCTTATTGTCCTTTTGATAACTGTAGACTATGTAGTGACATCTTTATTTCATTCCTGATACTGTTAATTTGTGATTTCTTTCTCTTTTTTGCCAGTCTTGCCAGATGGAAGTTTGTCAATTTTGTTGATGTTTTCAAAGAAGCCGCTCTTTGTTATATTGATGCTTTTCCTATTTTTTTCTGTTTTCAGTTTCATGAATTTCTGCTCTTATCTTCATTATGTCATTGTTTTACTTGTTTGGAGTTTATTTTGCACTGCTTTTTCTAGGTTTGTGAGGTGGATGCTTAGATTATTAGTTGAACATTTTTCCTCTTTTGTAGTATATACGTTAGTGCTATAAATGTTCCTCCCCGCTGGGCGCGGTGGCTCACGCCTGTAATCCCAGCACTTTGGGAGGCCGAGGCAGGTGGATCACGAGGTCAAGAGATCGAGACCATCCTGGTCAACATGGTGAAACCCCGTCTCTACTAAAAATACAAAAAATTAGCTGGGCATGGTGGCGCGTGCCTGTAGTCCCGGCTACTTGGGAGGCTGAGGCAGGAGAATTGCCTGAACCCAGGAGGCGGAGGTTGCGGTGAGCCAAGATTGCTCCATTGCACTCCAGCTTGGGTAACAAGAGTGAAACTCCGTCTCAAAAAAAAAAAAAAAAATGTTCCTCCCAGTGTAATTTAGCAGTCGCCCACAAATCTTGATGTGGTATGTCTTCATTTTCATTCAATTATAATGTATTTTTAAAATTTCCCTAGAAACTTCCTTTTTGACCGATGGTTTATTTTTAGAAGCATGTTATTAATTTCCAAACGTTTGGTGATTTCCCTGTTATCATTTTTATTTATTTATTTTTTAAAATGAGACAGCCTCTCACTCTGTTACCCAGTTTAGTGGTGAAATTACAGACAACTGCAGCCTTGACCTCCTGGGTTCAAGTGATCCTCTCACCTTGGCTTCCTGAGTAGCTGGGACTACAGATGTACACAAGCTTACCTGGGTAATTTTTGTATTTTTGGTAGAGATGGGGTCTTGCCATGTTGCCCAGGCGGTTGTTGAATTCCTGAGTTCAAGTGATGCACCCACCTTGGCCTCCCAAAGTGCTGGAATTACAGACATGAGCCACCATGCCCACCCCCCTGTTATCTTTATGCTACTGACTTCAAGATTGATTCAATTGTGGTTGGGGAAGATACTCTATATTATTCTAATTCTTTAAATGTGTTGCGGTTTGTTTTACAGCTCAGGATGTGGTCTGTGTTGGTGAACATTCTATGGGCACTTGAAAAGAAGGTGTATTCTGCCGTTGTGTGAAGGGGTCTATAAATATTAAAGTCTATTGGTTGATAGTGTTATTGAGTTCTTACGTATTCTTGCTAATTTTTTGTCTAGTTCTATCAATTGTTGAGAGAGGGTTATTGAAGCTTCCAACTATAATTGTGGATTTGTCTATTTCTCTTGTCAGTTCTGCCGGTGTCTTCACGCCTTTTATGACTTTGCTGTTCAGTGCACATACATTTAGGATTGTTAGATCTTCTTGATAGATTGGTACTTTTATTATTATTATTTTTCATGAAAAAGAATTTTTAAATTGAAGTCAACCAGTGTTAACCCTGGTGTGTTTCCTGTCAGTCTGTTCCTCCCTATGGGAGTCATACGCAATTAAGATCTCCTAGAAAGAGAAATTCCTCCATCCCCTGACTTCTTCACTCAGTACACTGCGACCTTCCCATATTCCTCAACATCTTCAACCCGGAGCTCCACTGGCTGGAGGTGGTCTCTAACCGGAATTGGCTTAGCAATCTCTTCACTGAAAGGTGGGCATTGAGGGAGTTTCAGTTTTCAGCTGTCATAGACAACTGCCTTAGATGGCAAAGCATTCACGAGTCAATCGTTCCCTTCGCTTTGAACTTCTTTGCAGACCATTCACTTGACCGAAGCTGGAATTTGCTCCCATAAATGTAGGAAATAAAGCCATCAATTTCTGCAGTGAATACACAGTTTAACTTGGGGATAACTTTCAGGCGGTCTTCTTTGGTGATAATTTTGAAAATATGTTTTGTTTCTTGTAGAAGGATTCTGTAATACCCACATAAGAGGGGCATTTGGATTTTGCCACTGAAATAATAGCCCCGTGAAGATCTGCCTTTAACAGCTTGGCCTGAATTATCTGTGGCTGTGTGTTTGGCTTAAGCCCATTGCACAGGTCCCTGACGTACTGTTTCCAGAGTTCATGGAGAGGGAGAAAAAGACCGTATCTCTGTTGCTCTGATTTAATGTCAAAGAGCCGCAGCTCCCTCCTTTGCTTGGCAGAGAGGGCTTTGGCTTTCTTCTTCCTCTCCTTGCACCTGCGGCAGGTGAAGTGCTACAGGACCTCGGCCTTGCGCTGCAGCTGGTCCTCGCTGGCCTGCAGGCTCATGCAAGGCGTGCTGTGCTTCAGGAAGGCCCGCTGTGCACCTGAAGACATATGCTGGCAGAAAGTCTGTCTGCTTCAGCTTTGCACCTGTAGATGCTGGACATTGGAGTCTTTTGCCTCTTTCTGAGACAATGCATGGTAGATCTCACTCTTCATTCTCAGCCTGCTTCCCGGCACTTTTATTGTTATATAATATCCACTGTGTCTCTGTCATTTTCATTGCTCTGAAGTCTATTTTATCTCATGCTAATTTAGCCACTCCCTTCCTTTCATTAATGATCGCATGATTTCTCTTTTTTCATCATTTTATAGTCAATGTGCCTATGTCATTATATTTGAAATTAGTTTCTTATAGACTACATATAGTTGCATCAGGTTTTAAAATCCACTATATCAATTTATGTTCTTTGCTTTTTTTTCTTTTTCCTGTCTCACTGTGGGTTTCTTGGACATTCTATTAAGAATTCAATTTTGATTTATTCACAATGTTTTCAAGTATATCTCTGTATGATTTTTTTTAGTGGCTGCCGTAGGTAATTTATTATATACATATCTACACGTATCAAATGTATCACAGTCTACTGGTATCCTTGTTGTGCCACTTCAAGTGAGGTACAGAAGCTCACTTCCTTTTATGTTCCTTTGTCTCCCTTTGTTTGAAATTGTTTTATATATTTCCTGTACGTACATTTAGAGCCATATTAGGCAGTGTGGTAAGTTTTGCTTTAACTGTCAAACACAATTTAGAATCTCAAGAGAAGGAGGGCCCATTGTATTCATCCGTATCTTTACTTACTGGGCTCTTCCTTCCTCATGCTCCAGAGGTTCATCTATTATTGTTTCATTTCTGTTTAGAGAACTTCCTCTAACTTTTTTTTTTTTTAATATACAGAAGATTTGTGCTGAGTGAGGTATCGGAGCCCCTGCATCAGGAAGTGGTTGACTTGCGGGTTGTTAAGAAGAATTTACCGACAGCAGCATAGGTTTGAAAAAGAAAAGTTTTATTACAAAGAAAGAACACTGCAGAAGAGTGCAGTGGGGCACCTCAGCAAGAGAGGACTGCACACACCACGGTGGGTTTTTCTTAGGAGCATTTATGGACTTAAGGTGGGCGCTTAAAGGCAATTGGACCATATTAGCCACGTGGGTCATGATAAATGATTACACGTGTTGACATTTTGGTGCCCTATTGTCAGCAAGGGTTGCACAATGAGTTTTGACATGGCATTCTGGAGATGTATAGAATTTCTATTTGCTTACAATTTTTTCTTTTGAAAGGGACCTGGAACCAAATAACAACTTTAGGTACTAGGGAAGTTTAATTACTTTTAAATTTCCTAGAAAAGGAGTTTGCCTCCAAATGGACTATTTGATGCTCATTGGATGGTCTTTGTTTCTTCCACTTTACTTCTAAATTCCTCAGATAAGGAGTTTTTGGACTCTGGGGCCTGCTACGTGCTCACCAGGTGATTTTTGCTCTCCTCTTTTTTTCCCCTGACAAATATTTTGGTCAAATCGTTGACTCTTTGTATTCCCCCATGCTCATGTCTACCTGCTGCCTACTCAGGTCTCAAGAAAGGGAAAATGCCACAGTGAAAAGGGGCATTGAGTCCATCTGTCTAACCCCTACTGGAAGGGGGCATTGAAGGTGTAGGTTGTGTTTTTCCCTTTTTTGCTCTCTGTCATGAAGGGAATTAAGGGTCATGAAAAACTCATTCACGAGGGAGTGGGGAAGACCAGATTCCATCAGGAGGCCGGTATTGGGACTGCATAGTCATCTGTGGGTGAAACTGTTGTAATCTGGAACATATAAACTTAATGAGAGCATTAAAAAGGCAGGGACCAAATATCAAAAGAAGAATGACAAGGAGTAGAGGTCCAAGGAATGGGAGAAGCCAAGTGATTTTTGGAAATGAACCAGTAGAGGTTTTGGCCCAGTCTTGGTTACTTTGGGAGAGTGTGTGTAGCCACTGGCTTGTTTGAAAATTTCTTGGACCTTAGTTTCCACTTCTCCAGACACATTAATGTTGGTGTAACAGGTTTTTTTGATGACAGCACCGACTCCTTCTTGTTCAGCTGGAGGTAATCTAGAGCTTTTCTATTATTAATCTCATTTCTGCTGGTACTCACTGGTGAAGGCTTTCTAGTGCTGATAGACTCATGCCAGTTTTTGCCAAGGCTATTTCAGGGGAAGTGGTAAGTTCCCGTAGTGAGATTTCATGTAAGTAAATGGGTGAAAGTTGCAATAGTTCCTGTAATTCTGGCCACAGTAAGCCCTAGGGCCTTTTTTCTCTAGAATGGAATTCTGAATTGGAAGTTATACTCAAGACAGTGATTTGGGTATGAGCTATTGTTCCCAGAGTACAATCACCATAATGAAGAGAATTATTAAGATGGGATAGGGTTGAAGTTTGAAAAGGGTTTAAAAAATTATTAGCAGTGCGACAAAGCCATAATAGCCCAGGGGGGTCAGGTAATATATTTTTGAGGCTTCTTGGACTAAGAGGGCCACTGTTGCTAAGGGTCTTAGGCTGGGGTGAGGGGGAGTGACCTTCCTGGAATACTAGGTCTAAACTTTTTAAACAATATGCTGTAGGGCATTTAGAGGGCCCTAGATCTTGGGCTAACACTCCCCAAACTATTCCACTTCATTCATGTACATACAAAAGGAAAGGCCTAGTCAGATCTGGTAGGGCTAAGGCTGAGGCTAAGATTACAGCCTGTTTCTAAGTGTTTAGAGCATGCTTCATATCATTAGTCTAGGATAGGGGTTGCTCCTCAGTTCCCTTGAGGGCTTCATAGAATGGTTTTGCTATAATTCCAAAGGAAGAAATCCTCATTCTGTAAAATCTCACCATATCCCAAAAGGACTGAAGCTGTTATTTAGTTCCTGGAGTTGTCACATTTAAGATAAGATTTTTACAAGTGCTAGAGAGACTCTTTGTACTGAAGGTTAAAATAAGACCCCAAAATTGAATGCTTTGTATGAATATTTGTACCTTAGAAGGAGATATTTTGTACCCACAGTCAGCAAGTTTGTTTAGTACTAATATTGCATTTTGGTCTAAAACAGCCTTGTTAGGACTGCAGATTAGTAGGCCATCCACATACTAAAGTAGATTGCTATCTGGGAGAAGCTGCAGGGTAGACAGGATTTTAGCTAGGGCCTGTCCAAAATGGTGGGGGCTATCTCTGAATCCCTGGGACAGAATTGTTTCAGTTAAATGTTGAGCCAGTTGATTATCTGAGCCTTGCTATCCAAAAGCAAACAATCTGGGTATACAGGAAAGCAGAAAAAGGTATCTTCAATATCAAGTACAGTAAACCAAGCTGTGGTGGAGAGAATTTGTCCGAAAAGAGTGTAAGAATTTGAGACAATAGGATGAATAGGAATAACAGCTTCATTAATAACCCTAAGGTCCTGGAGTGGTCAGTAGGGGCCATCCGGTTTTTTTTTTTTTTAAAGTACAATGGTCATTTTATTTTTCTCCAGAAAATAATTTGCCTTCACTCTTTAAGGACTTGGTTCCTTACATGGGCTTTGGTGGCGGTCTTGGGGCAGTACCTGCAGGTCTAAATCAGGGTGGGGATGTTTGGTCCTTGTGGGTTTCATGAGATCAATTCCTGACTACTTTGCTGTGAATTGCACAACTCCCACAGTCATGTAGCTTCACATACAGCTTGGAAAGCACATAGGCATTGCAGACGCTCGCTTCAGAAGTGTCCCTGACTGCTGAGGCCTCTATGATGTTTCTGATGACAAATTTCTTTTTTTTTTTTTTTTTTTTTTTGGGGACGGGGTTTCGCTCTTGTTACCCAGGCTGGAGTGCAATGGCGCGATCTCGGCTCACTGCAACCTCTGCCTCCTGGGTTCAGGCAATTCTCCTGCCTCAGCCTCCTGAGTAGCTGGGATTACAGGCACGCACCACCATGCCCAGCTAATTTTTTGTAGTTTTAGTAGAGACGGGGTTTCACCATGTTGACCAGGATGGTCTCGATCTCTTGACCTCGTGATCCACCCGCCTCGGCCTCCCAAAGTGCTGGGATTACAGGCTTGAGCCACCGCGCCCGGCCTGATGACAAATTTCTTAATGGCCTTGTCCTTGGGCACACACCGGGGACAGTTTGTGCGGCCCTTTTTGGCAAGACTGTTATTCTTTTTCTTCGTCCTCTTGGAGGCACAGGCTGGAGAGAGGACATCTGGTTTCTTTACAGCTAAAATGGGAGTGTAGCAAGGCAATTTGCACGGACACAATAACCATGGGTTTAAAATTTTGTTACTAGGGGCTGTAACCCTTTATGTGCTTCTAGTTTCAAGGGGCATTGGGGGTTCTGGGGAACTTATTGGGATTTTTAAGCTGAATGATGATGGGAGCAGCTGATACTGAATGACCAAGAATAAAAATATTCCAAACCTCCAATGGCACTTGTTTATGAATGTGAGGTTCCATAGACTGCAGTGGCTCTTTTGATGAAGCATGAGTTAATACAGCTGCTGGAAGATGAGGTCTTAGCTGTAAATTGCTTGTAACTTTGTAAGTCACAATCTAATAATGAAACAGGATGGGCTGGCAGGACTAAAAAGAAGTGGGTGGGTAAAGGAATAAATAATAAATAATGCAATGTTACAAGGGAGTGGCAGTGTGAAATAGCCTCATTGGGGTTTTCCATCAATACCCATGAGGAAAATGGAGAATTGGCATATTGGGCAGTAAAAAACTTTTGAAGCTAAATAACTGGCCCCTGTATCTATGAGGAGCATTATCTCTTGTTCAGCCACAGTCAGATTTACCTGAGGCTCATCCATAGAGATGTAAAAGACAGGGGCTGGGTGGATGACTCCTGAAAGTCATCTAGAGGATGCTTGATCATAATCCAGGAAAAGACTTAGAGGTGCTTGTCCTTGCCGTTGCCCTTGTCCTTGTTCTGCAGGACCCCCTTGGTGGGTAGGTTGGTGAGGTTTTGGCAGTGCCAGCCCAGAAGAAAGAGGTGCCTCATCTCATGAGGATTACAAGCATGAGCTTCATCTGCCCAAGTTTGAGCTAAAGACCATACATATGAGTTTTTTTTCCCAAGGGAATAGCAAGTAGTTAATACCATGAATATGTTTTTCCAGATTAAGTCAAAGTTAATAGTTAAAGCCCAAAATTCTTGAATAAACTTAGAGGGATTCTGGC